CCCCAAAACCCCAAAACCCCAAAACCCCTCATGAAGAAGTAGAAAAGAGAATTCTATAATTATTTAGTTAATTTAATAATATAGATTAGAACTATTCTTCTCCTCAAAATGGTAAATAAAGATTCAAGCAGATTTTCTAAATCCCGAATAGTTCTTTAATGAATATATATTTATAGGTATATATAGTGATTTAGGGATTTAAAAGACCTTTTAGAGCTTAAGATGCAAAGGACTTGTTAGTTAATGCAATGGGATTGAGCAGTGAGGAAGCGTAGAATTAGATCAAGCTATTTTGGTTAGGAAGGCTAAAGAAAACCGCATGCTTGATTGTAAGTCACGAATCTTAGGATTTAACATTTGCTTATAGGTCGAAGATGATAATTATTTTAAGCCTTTGAAACAGAAAATTGATGGAATAGTGTGGCCTCAAGGTAAAGCATAAAACTTGATTTATATTGCTTATATAGTAATTGGAAGTTAACTTCAAGTCATAAATGTGGGAAATGTTGATAAAATAGTTGATGTTTTAAAATCTGAGCCACAAAGCATCGATTTACAGCTAACTTTGAATGAACAACAAATTTAATTTTTGGACTAATTACTCAACTATCAAAAGCCTATTAAGAAGATAGTTATACCCCCAAAAGAAGATCCTGAGTAAGATAATAGGATTTAAAGGAATTAAAGAGAGGACAAATTTTAAAGAGAGAAGCAAAAAATAGCAAGTAATCATAGGCTTGTTGAAAATGTAAAGCCTATTCCAGTGAATCCATTAGACCTACTATTTAAAAAGACTCAAGCAAAGCCTGCATTATATTTCTTGCCAAATACATCCGATGAAGTTTTAGCAAAGAAAAGAGTGGATTTATAAAAAATCAAGCAACAGTCAATTAGTTCAATCTAATTAAAAAGATCTAGATCAAGATCAATAGAAAAGTAAAGAAAATGAATATAGCTATCTTTGTTATCAGTGATTGATTAGCAGTTTTAATTAAATACTTTAAAAAATATTGATTGTATTAGTATTATTTATAATAAGTTTATCAAATTAATCATAAAACACTTAAGGCAATGATAAAAACTGAACCTATTACTCCAAAATGTATAATACTTGCTACACTTCTTATATAGAATGGGTAAAAGAAATCCTTTGGTACTCTCTGCATTGGTGGGTCTATGAATGTTGAGTTTGTAGAATTAGCCATCGTAATTTCGACAAATTAAACACTAACTTGATGGAAATATGTTTGCTTTTGGTCATCTGACTATCTTGTGAAGCTCCATTATTGTGGAACTGAATACTTATAGATATCTACTATATAATTTTATGGATTGTCTGAGAAACCCATTTTGGCATAGAAAATCTTGTAGTGAGCATTTGGATAAAAATGGCAAGTTTTATTTATATCATAGAAAGCTATTTAATCTCCTAATTTCTAGTAGCTTACATCAACTTTAATATCTTTCCAGTCCTAAGTGAAGTATAAATTTGCATTTCCGAATTCTCCAAACTTTTAAATAAACTCTAAATTTTTAAAGAGTTGCATGCCATCAATGTTCGAATTTAGATCTGAGCAGTAACTTTTAAGCTCTGAGTAGGTTTTTTAAACACTACAACCGTAATTTAAATCTTGGCTGAAATTCACTACTGGGTCACCATAGTCAGTACTAATTTCTGTGATTTCTGTTGATGGTGCACTAAAACAAGCACCGTATTTATCTGCTCCAGTCAATTAGAATCCATTTTAATAGAGTTACATCCCTCCACTGTTAGTATCAACTTTTCCAACAAGTAATGGTGCGCCAGTTTTATATCCTGGATTGCCTGATTTTGATTGAACTTGGATATTTGACGCAGCAGTGATGAAATTCACTGAGTATTTTTGAGCTACCTAAGCTTTTGATCCACATATACCTGACAATGGGGATGATGCCAATACAATATTTGCATTAACACTATCTACGTTAAAATATGGTCTGCTTATTACATTAGTTGCTGCAAGAGGGGTAGTTTTAATAGTATAATGGACTTCCTTTACATAGTTACTGCACGTACAGGTATTTGTCGTTGCATCCTTATTGAAAATAGTATCACTTACTGTAGTTGCTGCAGATTATGTATAACTGCTTGTTACTGTGTCATAAGTAAAAATTGAATTAATTTGAACTTTTATCAATTTAGAAAAAAATGCTGATTTACCAGAATAAACCTCTAGGTAATTTGTATAATAGCTTGGATTGATAACTGAAAGACATTCTTTTTAGATATCTACTATTTAAATGCAACTTGATTCAGTGTTTTGCATAAAATGTGGAGATCTAAAGTTATCGCAAACACCATTCATATTTTCTTGTGGTAAAGGAAATCCTTTATAGTATTATTATAAGCTACCACTTGGGAGAGTTAGTCTAGAGAACATTTTCTCTCCTTCAATATAATAAGATAATTGACTTCCTGCAATTTCAGTTCCAAATATTGTTCTCACAAAGCCTTATTTTGACAATGTATTTGTTAGAGAGTCAACTTCTTCATTGGTGATTTAATTCTTTTGATCAAAGTAGAAATCCATCAAAGGAGCATTGTTGACATAGACGCAAAACAATTTAGCGAACGAGTCAACATATGATTATAGCCCACTCATCTTATTGTAATTAAAAATTTCTCTTTAAGATAGACAGTCTGCCAATGGCAAGCCATTTGTTCTATTATAGTTAACATTTAAACAAAGTGATGTGGAGACCCAGTTAACTCTTGTTGCAAAAGAGCAATCTTAATCGCAGCAGCATTAGGCATCGCATGAGTTGGCTGTTAAATCACAACTGCAGGGTTAGTATTTGGGATTAGCTTAATATGAGTTAGTGAGATTAGTTTCTGATATCCAATCAGGGTAGATGTTCTCAGAACCAAATTAGAATTAATTTGAGAAATAAAACTGAGAAGAGAATGATAATAATGCTAAAGAGTATGCTCGCATTTTTAAATTTGAATTTAAATTGTTATTATTTACTTTTCTTTATGAATTCAATGCGGGGTTTTGGGGTTTTGGGGTTTTGGGG